AAAAGTGCAAGCAACGCGATCTATAATTCGCAAGAATTCGAGATGATTCGAGACAAAATTTATTTTTTATACTGTATAATATCAAACATTTAAAGAATAACAATTATACGTATAAAAAGTATATGTTAAAATATATCACATACCGAAATATAGGACAAATTAGAAATAATTCATATAGGAGTCCCAACTGCTAAGTAAGCAATTTCACCAGAGCTGAATTGATCATCAATTAAATTAAATGGAGTTTGATCGAAGTCGTCGTAAGGCCCGCGAGTTATAACTTTCGCGGGATGGAGAGAGAGAGTGCAAACGAGTTTGGGGCGTACTATTAGTAATTAACCCATAATTTGAGAGAGAGAGAAAGAGAGAAAGCGTTTGGAAAAATAAAGAATACTATCTGCAATTTAATCGCGAAGAAGGACGCGTATTTGCTCGTCGACGACGTCGGCCCGGTTTGCGCGAGCGTGTTTACGAGCACGGGGATGCGCAAAGTGCGTCTCGTTTCTCATGTGCGCAAGTGAAATAGTATAGACACGATCAGCCAAACACGTTCCAGGTGCGTCAACTCGAAAAAGAGAGAAAAGGACAGAAAATCGCGTGTGTCGCGACGGGTCAGCTAGTAAACGAGAGAAACAGAGAGAGAGATAAAAAAGATAAAAAAAACTGTCCGTACGTTTCATCACATTTCTCAGCCGAAGTGCGGAATCGTCGAAGATCGCGAATTCATCAGCGGTGAGCGGAAACAACAGCGGAATAGTCGAAAGGACGATCGGTTCGATAGCTCGATAGGGAATAGGCTCGGGACACTCGCGCCGTTACGCATCGTCCCTGGACGTTTTACAAAAGTTACGCGATTTTTGGCAAAGGAAGAGATCGCAATTTGATTGAATAAGGCTCTAAAGGTTTTGGTCGAAGTGATAGATCGAGCAAGGGAGATAAAGAGAGAAGAAAAATATAGACAGAAAAAGTGAGGTGAGAAGAGTGGGAGATAGGTAGAGAAGCAAAGGCGAGAGAGCGAGATTCTTGGAACGTTCAACGTGTACGACCGAAGAATCATCGACGGCGTTCTACCTGGAGGATCCCGTGACGAGGAAATATTCTCAGTGGCTCACCGTCACGCGTGCAACCCAACCTAGAAAAGCGTTAAGAAGCGCTTTCGAGGTTATGTACCGTTGAGGAGAACCGCATAACGTTCTCGTGTGAGACTGAACGGCTAAAGTTGTGAGAGAGAGAGAGGGACCACGTTGTAAGTCTGTGAACAGGACGCGACGGCTTTTGGGTTTCATCTGAAGATGCCATATCGATAACTTCGCACCGGAGATCGTATCGATCCAGCGACGAGTGTATTGCGTTCACGCTACGAGAGGATGCATTCTCGTATGAAAATTCACAGCAGAGTGGCAAAGATTTCGCGCGATCGTTACCTCTAACCTGGTTGCACGCGTACAATGCACAAGAGAAAGGAACTGCTAATGCTTGTAACAAATTATAAGACTAGTCTGTACATGTAAGCGTGCGATTACTTTGCAATTTTATGATTAATGAACGATCTCGATCATGTAATTACACCGCATATCACTAATGTAAAAGAGATACACTTGTTTCAACAACGAATTTGCTATTTTTTAAATATAATTGTAGTTGATTATTTGTAAGTGATGAACAGAGTGATGTATGGAAATTGTGTCCTACTGATTTGCAATTCAATTTGTGTGAACGCGTACAATTTATTTTACATATTTGATAGACACGCTTTTCTGGAAAGATGCAAATAAATTATGAGTTGTACAAGTTGATTTGCATTCAGCATAATAGTGATATCATCTAAAGTTTGGATAAATGTTTACGACAGAAGTTCATGTGAATGGATGATGCTCGGAGGCAATGAACGGCATGGAGAGACATGGTCATGGACATGGACATTCACATGCGCATTCGCATCGTCATCGCCATTCCCATGGCAGTTCTCAGAGCTCGTCGCAGAACTCGAGTCAGCCGTCTTCAAAACATAGTCACAGCCACGTGACACATTCGCAGAAGGATACGGCTGTGCCATCAGCGACCCAGAAGACTCAGAGAAATTTCAAGCTACTGGTCGATCCATTTTTAGTTAAAGGAGCTACAAGACTATGTAGGTACGATGGGACCGTTCCAGGCGATCCAACGTATCCACAGGTTCAACCTCGAGATCCCAGATCGCAATTAACTAGAATCTGGACTCGATTGGAACAGCTTGATCTACCTGTACCTAGATTTAAAATTGATTCCAATTACTGTGGAGAACCTCCTCCACTAGAGGTAACGTTTTGCCATTTAAACGACAATATTGATAAGACATTTTTAACAAACATGGTTCAGAAGTTTGGATCTATAGAAGAGCTTACTATTTATTACCACCCGTTAAACAATAAACATCTTGGCATAGCAAGAGTGGTGTTTGAATCGACCAAGGCTTCTAAAGCATGTGTAGAAAAGTTGAATAATACATCTGTGATGGGGAAAGTATTAAGGGTTTTTCTGGATCCCTTTGGGGAAGAATGTAAGAAGATGTTCGAGGAGTTAACCATGGAGAAAAAACCACCTGAAAAGAAGGTAGAAAAAGAACCATCGAAACCAGAGCCAGAACCAGAAAAACATCAGACACCAGTAGAAAAGGCTTTGCCCGAGGAGAGGGACGACTTTAGAAATAGTAAAAAACCTATTCTAAATATAGAAAAGAGCAGAGAGCCATATGTAGAAAATTCAAGATATAACAAATACAGGGACTATCCTACACCGAGTGGCAGTGCAGGTAGTGATTTGGGTTATGGAACAGCGCCCAGTGAATTGAATTATTCTAGTAATTATTCTCAAAATTCTACTCCAGCAACAAATTATGACTTTTACTACAGTAATTATCATCATCAACCTCCGAGTAGCTATTTAACTAATATCCCGCAAAATGTGTCACAGAATATACCAATTCAACAGAACTCAAATGTATGGTGGGGTAATAATTCTGGATCAGCAGGATATTCAAGCTCAACTTCCGTTTGGCCAATTCAACCACATGCGACAAATTTGGACAATACTAATGTCACACCGATTAATAATAAAACTTCCAGTGCAAAAGCGCATACCACTCCTAAAAAGGAAAAGGAAAATCAGACTGCAGCAAAGAGTACACCTCGTGATTCTCCTGATGAAACTCGCAAGACATTAGATTTAGATACAAGAATTGCTATGTTACTAAAGGATAAAGCGGGTGGAATGGCACCTCCTTTCTTACAATTTGGCAGTGACTCAGAAGATGATAAAAAATCTCAATTTGATGACAATGAGATATTATCAGATCCACCCAGTCCTTTCCTCTCACGTGAGATATACAAACAGTGTTTTGATAAAATAGTAGAGAGAAACAAAGAACGGAGAAAAGCTCATGAAAATAGCATTAGTCAGTTTTCCGTGGATGAAGATTTAGGTAGTGTCATAAGTTCCAGTGAAGATGAAGCGTTATTAGGAAGTTACAGCCCAGCACCCGATGACAATGAACCAGAGCCACCTAAGGAACCACCTCCACCTCCACCGCCTGACGACGACAGAATGTCTCTGAGTCCTTTAAGTTCAGGAGATGAAAAAATTGAGGAAGTGAGAACATTTATACATATGAAATGTAGTATTCATCGTCTATTTTATATTCATAAAATATCTTTTTGATAGGTAATAGCACAGACTGAACCTTCAAATCAACTATATCCGGCAGCTGGTTACCCAGGACATTTGACTCACTATCCTTCTAATGATGTTTATAATTGGCCGCGACCGACGCAATATCCTTATCCTTATGGAACAACTTATTTACAAAGCCATTATCAACCTAATACAGCGTCTTTTTCGGCAACAATGGGAAATCATCAAGGAGCAAATTATTATTCCTCTTTTCAATCTCGGTTACATGCTATGGCAAATTATAATATCACAAAAGATCCACAGGTAAGGTTGATTGTCACACAAATATATAAATCTAAACTTTGTATTTAAAACTTTTAAAACCAGCTTTTAAAAATATTTCTATTTATAGGGACCTACTATCAATGGAGTATTAAGCAGAGTTGTAAATGAACTAAAGCAAATTCTAAAGAAAGATTTTAATAAGAAGATGATAGAGAACACAGCATTCAAATTATTTGAAGTTTGGTGGGATGAAAAGAAATCAGAAAAAAATCAAATTCAGGGTAGCAGCGATAATATTATTGTCAATAATACAACAAAAGAAGAAAAATCGCAGGGATTGTCATCATTATTAGAACAAGCAACACCACTGGGACTCAATTATGATGGTTTTGGTTTGGGTATTAGAGCTAGTATGCCAAAGATGCCTTCATTTAGGGTAAGATAATGTTATGTAAAATAACAAAAATAAAAATCTAGGTTACTGAGAATCAGCATGGAAGAAGGTGCGCAAATTTTGCACATTTTTTTTACAAGTAAAATTGTTATTCTATTTGAT